AGAGGAAGGACGATATGGACCATTTTTTTTAGAAATGTGTTTAGGGCTCCGTTAAATATTTCGCTTTTCAAAAAGGTTCAGTCACCAAAAAAGTTTGAGAACCACTGCTTTAGGTAATACAGGAAAGTCATGTATTGGACACAATAGTTTTTTTTTTATATACAATAACTTAAATTTGATATCGTTCTTTTCTAAAAATAAGATGAATACTCGTATGATTCTAGGTACTCTGTTTGAAATTCGTAGACAATAATCCATTACAAATGATTTTTATATTAAATGGGTAAATAAGTTATTGAATTTTGAAATATGCAATATGAAAACTGATGCGCGTTTACTTTAAATACATTTTTTTATTGTTTAAACGACCTTTCAGTATAATCTCTAAAGCAAAATATTATACAAATTTAATGTTTTATTTAATGCAGATAAAATGTAATTTTGTGTTATCGTGTTTACAATTTGAAAGTATTTTAAAGTTATGCTCTTTTCCATCAATTACAACAATACTTATTTGATAATTGAGATTTAAACACAGTAGTCTTTTTCGCAAAGAATGTAGAGTGAAAATGAAGCACAATGTAGCAGAAATGATAATCTTAAACGCATATTTGGTATTGAAAGCAACGATAGGATCATAGTGAATATTTTGCTAAATCCACAACAAAAACAGAATTTCAAATATTATCTAATAGTTATTTGACCTGTGAATTTTATTAGGAAATCTTGTATCCTAAATTTTAGACAAAACATTTTCCGAATTAATCTTAGGGCAAAACTAAATAACTAAATTAAGACTTATTGAAATCATTTCGTTATCATTTGTTTTGACATTCTTCAGATAACTCGCATATTTAATGACTGTGTATTAAAAATAATAATTGCAATAATGTATCAAACACGACATAACATACTGGGTGGATTATTGGGAGATTTATCTATACAGTGTGTCTCAAAAAGTTTACGTAGAACACTTTTTTGACAGTGTACAAGGAAAGTCAGCAATTATGAATTAAAGTAGGTTCACTTATTTTAAAAACACAAAAAATGGATCTATGGATACGTTATGGAATATTTAATAACTATATCAAGAAAATAATTTTTCAGTAAAAAAAATATTTTAATTAAAAATCATTACATGGACTTTGTAGAAACTAATTTAATATATGTAAATAGTTAAGCGATATAGTGAAAAAGTTAATTTACTTCCCTCGTATTAGGCATTCCAACGACCTGCCAAACTGCTGACAAGTGGGAACTGACATTTAGATATGGCAACCCTGTGGGCATGTTGTCATTAACAGGGTCAATGCTACATATATAGTTATATAGATTACTCAAAGCACGTCGTTTACGAGCAGCCATTTTGCATCGCAAGTGCTCAATAATCAGAATCGATTTTGCAAAAATATGTTTACAAACCATTATTTAGCCTTTGGATATAGTAAAAAAAGTAAATACCTCCATTTTTACTTCAAGGCATAAGCTTATGTTTATTTTTAAAAATATGGATGATCAATCTATGTAACTATCTATTTCATTGACCTTGTCAAATCACCAGGCCTACAGGGTTGCCATAATTTTGCCATATCATAACCTGTCAAAACCCACTGGTAGCCATTTTGTTTGGAATGCCAATATTTTTTGGTTGAAGCACCAACTTTTATCAAAAACAACATTTTCATCTTTGGATTATTGTTAATCCTATTTACATTTTATGTTTTTAATAAAATTTCTCTCTTACGCTCTCTTTTTATCTATATGAAAAAATAGATATTATTTAATAACTGAAGAAAACAAATACATATATTATAACGAAAACAGAAATAGGACAAGCAAATTTTATAAACTAAAATCGGAGGAATCTTAGAAAATAAAAAAAATTGTATATTCTGTAACAAGGTTCGAATGAAAATTCGACACGAGTGGAAGACCACAAGTATCGGATTTTCATCCCAACAGAGTAGCAGACTGTACTTTCTCCATGGTCACAGACACAGTAGAAGTTGAATATAGTAAAATGAAACTGAACAAAATGAAATATTTAACCTAACTTATGTTAGACAAATTTTTATTTAAATTATTTGCATAATTTATCAGTTCAGGAGGAATATTATCAAATTCCATATAAGGATCGTTATATTCACCAATTTTTGAATTTAAGTTCGACAAACTCCACTTATCTTTATTCGGGCAAATTCAAACTAAATGCTAATATATCGCGTAAAACTGCCAGTCATGAAATTCATGACTATGCGGGTGTGGTATTCACAGCCATTGGCCAGTAGCTATTACATAATTATAGAGTTAGAACGAAATATGTGTAAAATACATAAGAGGCGCAAGTGTGTCAGAATTTTCTTTCAATCTCAAGATCGAGAATGTTTTCTTCCTGTTATTATAAGTGGTTTCGAAAGAACTACATTCAGCAGTGACCGTGGAATATTTCAATTTTTATAGGAACGGAACGGTAAATGATAGAACATTCCACGAAAGAGAAATAATTAAAAATAAGACCGTTTGACATCAGGAAAACGTGTAAACAGGAAGGATTTTGTATTTATTTAAACTGGTCCCAATTTGGTATGTCCAATAGATAGTGATAAATAATTTGTTAAATAAACAATTTTTATTTTTTTATAGCTTATCTAATAAGAACTTATTATAACATTATTTTTAATTACTCGTATTTTAATATTATAGGAAAGGAAACACAAAATCCGCACCACACAATATTTTATCGAAAACCATAAATTAGGTAACCAGTTTCGGCATATAAGCCAACAGCCCTGAAAAATTATAAAAAGTTTAACAAGTATATTAAATCACGTAAAAATATTATACTATCCGACACATTTATGAAACCAGTTACGAAATGCCTTATTTTTTGTAACTAGTGAATATTTGCGGGACTAGCAGAGCGGGGTCCCGCAACATAAACGAGTTACATCATAAAACCGCATTTCGTAACGTGTTACATACAATATTTTTTCTAACTTTGACTAAATTGTTTATAAAATTGTGCTTTGGTAAAAAAATTACTGACATCTAGGCAACCAATATTATTACTTTCTTATATTGTTAGTTGCGTATAGTTTAACTTTTATTGACAAATAGAAAATAATCATTTATTTTCAACGACTTGTAGTTTGTTTAAATTGCTTGTTAAAGTTAGTTAGATTTAAAAAAAATGGCTTATTTTCTGGTGTATTGTGTTTTAATTATTTTGTGCTGATTACAAATAGAAAATAAGAACCAAAACAACATTATTATTATTAGGTTATAAGTTTTACTTCTTTAAATTCTATTTTTATAAGTCAACCTGCCCTTATTTGATATTAACTTTTAATAATAATGTATATTATTAATTCATTTTAAAACCAAAAAATGTTTATTTTTATTTTTGTTTTTATTCGCAACTGCTAACATAATGAATTTTTCGAAACCAGTTTCATAATGTTCAACATTATGCAACTGGTTACTTGCTGCGATTACAAAAAATGTCACTTTATGTATCACAATTAGAAAAATGAATTTAAATAAACGAAATATGAATGATCCTCCCGAACATCAAATTATATTTATATTGGCACTGTGTGTGACAGCAGCATCAACTAACTTATGAACTGAACTAACGGAAGATTTTTTTCGTATACTGACAATACAATTTTTAATAGAATTCATAAATAAAAAAGATATATGAATTTGTAAAACAAGTAAAAACATTATTTAATTATCATTATATATTTTTATTGCTTCAGCTAAAAAAAAGTAAGTATAATCAATAAAAATCAATAATAAAACAGAGGTAGGCAACAGTATTTTTGAGAAAATGTATGAGAAGTTGCCTAAGCCCAATAAGTTGTCATTTAAAAATAGGATAAATAATGCCAAAATAAAAAAATTATCATTAAGTAATAACGTGGAATCAAAATGTATTACCAAAAGAAAAATAATTGGTAGGTATATTTGCAATTGTAATTTTTAATTTCTTCATTTTTAGTTCGAAAAAAACATAGAATTAATGATTAAAACTGACTTCCTATCAATAAGTCACAAAATTGCATTCCAGCTACATACCACAATCAAAGGCAGAAATCTAGTACTTGCTGAACACATAAGATTTAAGGGATGTTGAAGAACATCGTAAAAGTGTTTATTTAAAACCTTTCTACTTTCTGATATCTAATATTTCCAATAATACTGATATTATTACAAAATTAAAGGTACTTTTTTTCTTCTTATTATAGGTACAGCTATCCATTTATTTATTTGATTTAATTTCCATTTTGCTACTGAAAATTTATATAATTTACAATGTTTTTTTAATAGTATTTTTACAATTTACAACACAGCAACTCCGGTTGCTCATTGTATTGTTTTTACCTATTTTTTGAAAAAAAATGTAAAATATATACGTGTATTTGATACGCCAAAATTACAAAATATCGTCCTTATGTGCTCGAATTATCCGCAGTTGCGCTAGTATCGCTTTTACTTATCCTACCGTGACTTCGCACTGAGGGAATGGGTTCTAGTGACTCTAGTCTCTATATATAGTGCATTGTACAACAATGGGTTTTGTACATTAATTAAACTAAGATAAACTGTTATGTGGTATTAAGTAAAAACTTGGTATAAAATTGAATTATAGTAACTATTTGTTAAATAAATTAATTATACTAATTATTGAAACAATACGAGCTTAAAGGTACGATTAGTACCATTATTTTATGAAATGTAATGTAATTGTAAAACTGTTTATCGTCTTTTAGACCTGATGATGGATTATATTCCGAAACCAGTTGCCTAATTTATAATTTTCAATAAAATATTGTATGGTACGGATTTTGTGTTTCCTTTTTGAAAAGTTGAATAACCTTCTTGACCTATTTTAATATTATTTATTCATTATCTACTCGCAAAAACTCAAAATAAGCAAAAGTTCAAACTTTTATCTTTATACAAATAAATCCTCATAATATACATTTTTTTTTCAGATGTTAGGTATTTGGTATGTAATAGAAAAAACAAGTACAGGCAGTAGCTGTTTAGTATACAATATCACCAAGACTGATGAACCAGGGCAATATCAAATTGAAGAAATTAGCCAACACTTTCTATTAGCTTTGACGCCATTCAAACACGGGTACCATTACAGGGGCACTCTAAAGGTACCAGACAGTGCAATACCCGGAAGAATGTCTGTCAGTTTTCCTCTAAGTAAGTATATTTTGTTAGAAGAAACTCCAATAGTAAAATTAAAGCTTTACGGCTAATTGACACTCCAGTAATGAGTCTACAGCATTTCCCAAAATATCTACCGGGTGTCCGCGCGAAAACTTTGGATGGCTCTATTTCTAGTAGAATTTATTTGGAATCTTGAATTTTTGGCGTATGTGACAGAGCATAGGGGGACATAATTCCACATACTTTACACCCAACTACCCCTCCCCATTTCGTCTCAAGATACCTTTACATCAACATGTTTAATAACATATACCGGGTGTTCAAATTAAAGTGTTACAGTTAAACACTGTCTTTTATAAAAAAAACGTTTCAGACGGAAGTTTTATATTTTTTTGGGGTAAACATTTTGGCTAAAATCTTTTTTTATAGCTAACTATAATATGGCCAACTATTTTTCGCGCAGCAAAATTTTTAAGTAGGTGTTACTCAATAAGTAAAAGTCCAATAAAAAAATGTTTCCTTTAAAAGTTTCTTTTTTTTATGAACTTTAAGAATATGTAAAAAAATGGGGTTCCAATTTGAAATAAAAAAGTCCACCTTGATACGGCCATATTATGGTCAGCTATAAATAAATTAATTTCGCCGAAATGTTTTTCCCAAAAAACTATAAAACTTTTGTCTGAAACTTTTTTTTATAAAATGCATACTTTCGGCGGTATTTAACTGTAACACTTTAATTTGAACACCCTGTATAATTATGAAGGAATATGAAAGAACACACTTTTTTGGTACATTAATAATATAAAAGTTACAAGATACATGATTTTATTTAAAAATTTAAACTATACTCACTACAAAAAATCAAGCTACCTATGGACGAAAAGTTTGTGGAATTACGTCTTTCTATGCACTGTCTAGTACTCCAAAAATTCAAGATTCCAGCTTAAATTTTACCAAAATTAAAGCAATTCAAAGTTCGAGCGGACATACGGTATAGCATGTTCATAGATAAGGATACTATTGGAATATTAGGGACAATATGGACTATCTTACTACAAGTAGGAATATTGGTAGTCCAATTAAATAACGAAAAAAAGCCCCTTCGAGCTTACATTAATTTGCAATTGGATGAAACAAAGTGGACCTTATGTATTTTGATGTGATCTTTCCGAAAAAAAGCACAAAAAAATGTAGCTGTTGTTCAATTTTTTTTAAATTAGGAAAAACCGGGTTTTCCGGAATTTTCCATGGAAAAAATTATTTGGGCAAGTACAGTAAAAATAAATGCACCAATCGAAAGAGGAGGCAAAAATAGTTTGAAAATTCATTGCACAGGTAGTTTTAATGGCGAATTTCTCGCCGCCAGAAGGGCTTTTACCAAAAAGTAATTTTTTTGTTTCTTTGATCAGAACCATGGACATGAAATTTGCGATGAATTTGTGGCGAAATTATAAATGTTAGACATATGTGCCCATGAAAGAAGTTGCCTATTTTTTTGTTGGCTCTCAAATAAAATAAGTCCCGCGGCGAAATCTGCCATACTTTTTCGGGAATTCGCAGGAAACCGGAAGGCGTAGTTTTTTTTAATTTTTTTCCCATATGATTTTCTCCGGGTTTTCCGAAAACATCTGACAAAAATATATATTTGAAAAAACTAACTTCGGCATCGGAAAGAGCACAAAAAAATACACAAAAAGGTATAATTTAAAAATGTTAGGAAATTAATCCTAAGCCTGAGTGTAAGTTCCAACTTTTCTCAAAAACCGTGTTTTTTGGTCGTCACTCAATGAACAGTGGTCAAAAAAATAGATAAAATATTTTTGCAGAATGTTCCGTAATGTAATCGTATTCTAGACACAATAAAGTACTCAAAAAAAGTTTTGAGCCATTGGATGCATTTTTGTGCCACATCAAACTTTCGAAAAAAAATTTAGTTTTTTTAGGGAAAAAAATTGTTTGATATCTTGGCCAATGCAATTATAGTCCGATTTCGGTGAAATTCACACACTAATAAGATTTTACATTCAAGAGTAAGCTCTGTAAGTGGCATTAAAAAAATTCAAATAATTTGGCCGTTATAGGCAAACAATGAAATTAGGCCCGTGGTACACTTTGCCCTGCCGCCATATGCCCAATTTTAGGATTTCTCTTGCCCACTTCTGGAATCAATAGTCACATCCCTTAAGTTCAAAACGCATTTTTGTTTTTTCAAATATCTTAATTTTTACCAAAGTTATGAAGAATTTAGTGTTTGAACATTTAAGAAATTCAATTTTTCGACCTTCGCCGCCTCAAAATACTAAACAAATTTCAATCGTCCATACCGCGAGAACGGTGCATTGGATCAAAATTTCTCAAGAGACATGAAAATTAGCTTTTTTCCTAAGATTTTAAATGTCGTAAACTGCGTTTTGAAAATATTGATTTATTTCCGACATGCGCTTGCGCAAAATTGAAAAATTGACAAAATCCATAATTTCGGCACTTTCGAAAAACAGCTACATTTTGTTTTGCCTTTTTTCGAAAAGATCACCTCAAAATACATAGAATCCATTTTGTTTCATCTAATTACAATTTAATGTAAGCTCAAACCCCGTAATTTAATTCGATTATGGTAGGTAGTCGGCGAACAAATATAAAAAGGAAAATTTTTATTTAATCCCGTATTTTAATTTTGATTTAGTTATCTTTTATTGTACAAGAAACCAAAAATGTAGTATATAAAAACCATTATTCTTTTAGGTGTAGCTGGCTCCTCGAGTTTCACTGTCTTTATGACAGATTATGATAACTACGCTGGTATCTTCACCTGTCAAAAATTAGCATTTGCTCACAGGCAATCGGCTACTATTTTGTCAAGAAGCAAATTTTTAGATGAGTTGTACGTTACCAAGGTAAGATATTAACATTTATTTATACCACGATTTATACTAATTTTTAGATTTGCCAGTGCGCATCTAATTCTGAGTTGCCATCTCAATAGACCTTTTCATCACAAATGTTTTTTGTGAGCATGCGTCAGTATCTGTCATCTTTTTCATACTGTTTTTTGTAAACAAGCACGTTAAAATGCCCAAGTGAAAAAAATTATAATCGATAAATAATAATTTAAGTACTTATATTCATTTAAAAAAGGAAGAAAATGTAAATTAATAATAAGTTTAGTGTCTTAATTGAAAAATACATTTTTGCAATCAATTATAATTATGTTATCTGTATGGAAAGGAACAACGAAACGGTGTTGTTATGTAAAAGTGGCACACGGTATATTCATTCAAAGGCAATACATATTATTTTATAAATTTTCCAAAACCTTTGCTGCAATATCGTAAAAAATTATCAGGCAAAATCCATATTAAAACATGTTCAAAATGCGCATTAGGTGTAAAAAAATGTGGTCGAAGCGACAACGGTTTTCACGGTGTTCACTGCATTTTCAACAGAAAAAAATTCTTATCTGGTATTAAACAATATTTTTTTAATATTAAATGCTACTTCGGTATACATAGTAATATGATTAAAAATATCATGTTGATCCTCAAAATATTAAATAATTTATTTTATAAATTATACTCGTGATTATGTTTCATGTTAAAGTGTTTTTGCAAGTAATAATAGTTGGTTGGCATAATTAATTAGAATAGAGTTATAATTATTATTTCTTTTCATTAATTTTTTACGCAGTTAAGAAGTATTGATACACCTAACCTCTCAATCAGTCCACTTTGTTCCTTTGTAATAAACGTCCAAGACACTTCAACCACCTTTTCAACTGCTCACAACTATGCGCTTCCATAGAGTTTTAAAAAAGTTAATCACAATCAACGATTTTTTCTAATGATTAATTTTGCTGTAGAGATAATATTGCTTTCCCAGCCTATGGGGTCTATTCTGTAACAATTCCTTTATATTTAACGGCCTTTAAAAATATTTTCTTCTTTACTTCTGTCATTATTTAAACGGATCTTTAAAATACATTAGAGGACTATCTTAGAGAAATCTGTTTAAATAATGGTAGAAGTAAATTAACGAATACGAACATATTTTTATAGGCCGCCAATATTTTTAAAGGCCGTTAAATATAAAGGAATTGTTACAGAATAGACCCCATTGTGGATCAAAACAGTACGAAACTTTTGAATTACCGCTATTTCAACATGGTGGCTGCGCTGCGCTTGCGCTCATCACATGATGAAAAGGTCTATCTTGTCGTACTGTAAATATTTTCTAATTTTGTAACACTTTGTGACCGCAATTAAATTGGTATAATCATTGTCTATTATCTAAAAAACCAATGTATTTTTTTTAGTTACGTAATAAACTACAAAGTGCTCAAATCAGCCCGTTCGAACTCTCCATTATCAAACAAACTGACTGCCCCAAGGATCCGAATGCTGGTTACAACATCAACATAAACGACGAGACGATCTCCGCGCACGCCGCGGCCGAAGTTTTAAGAAAAGCAGGTGATAAGATTGGCGACGGGGTAGAATACGTGGCAGGAAAAGCCAAAGCCGTTTACAACAAAGTTTCCGAAAACACTGGGGACGATTTAAAACCCGCAAAACAATCTGCACACCCTGATGCAGAGTGGTTACCATGAGAAACTTTAAAAAAAAATTAAGATAAAATATAGTGATGTGTTAAACAGTGTTTTAAAATACTCGAGAGACCCTGTATACAATTATAAGACTGTTATGTTTAATTTATATAAAATAAATAAAATATGTTATATTTTTAATTCATATTCTAAATTCTGGCGAAACATAATAGTAGCAAGTGCTAAGAGGCAAACTTCCATAAACTATATATGCACTGATAGCCTCAGACCAGATGTATGGGAGGGGAATTAGATATAAACTAAGATTACTGGAAGTCTTGAATAATCCCCATATAAAAGGGGGTCCAGGGGTGCTCCCACAAAAATGTTTGTAAATTTGAATTTGAATTTTTGCCAATTATGAAAAGTAAGTACACAGGTATGCAACGAAGGCAGTGGTGTTGATGCTTGTCGGCAAAGTACACAGAAGTTAGGGAAGAATATGAATTGATGGCTAAACATTTTTGTCACGCTCATTTAAGACATCTATTGCTCCTTTACGAAAAGTTTTTTTGCAACAATACTTTCTTTACTTTCCCACCTTCTTTCCCATAGGCGCATTTCTCCGTTTAGCTTCATTTCTTGCAAATTTTCGTTACCATCCAACAAAGATGAAAACCGTATGACGAAGCAGTCGGTGGTTTCATCCAACTACACACGTTTGTTAAACTTACAATGGACTTAGGAAATAAAATAGGCAATTTGAAGGCATCCAATTTTTTTTTAATTTATGACTTTTACTACTTAATTTGTAAAATAAAATAAACTTGAAAACATAATCAAAAATATTTTCTATATAACCATTTAAAACTCAACAACTTTCGTCACGTTTTACTCCAACCGAAAACATCAGTGATAGAATATCCCATAACGTTAACTTTCGTCTCTAGTGACGAGAGTAAGTGGTTGCAATTTCAGATATTATAAATTTATTGTTGCAGTCTTAGAATTAATTTTTAGGATTTTATAAAGGAAAAGTTCAATTATAATATAAAGGTAGATGCCAAAACAAATATGGTAAAACGGGTTTTACCCCAAATTTAACGCATTGTACACTTATACAGTATGTTGTTTCCCACAATGACGCCAGAAGAACGGAATAAAATAACGACGCTTAACCACCCACAATTTGTAGTATTTATCAGATTTTAAATAAATTTATGTTCTAAATAAAAGGCTCTGCGGAATAAACCAATTATTATCTCGGATTAATTTGATTCATTTAAAAACCTTAACCAATTTAATTAAAAATAAAAACTACTTGTACATGGAGTTTCGTCAACCGCATCTTAGTAGGAAATATTAGTCAGAAAGTGTTTATTGATGATGTCGGTCGAGTTGACGAAACGCGTGTCAGGAAGGTGTATGAAAAATATGCATATACATTTTTTGTGTGGTTTTTTATATCTATATAGATGAAAAATACAAAATATAAGAGTACTTCTCCAATACAAAATTTATAATATTCTTGCCTGCTTTTAAAGCACTCTTCCAGGATTTACAAGTAACGGGGAATTGTATGCCAGAAAAACATCTTCCGCTTGGGTGCGGGGAGCGGGGATGCTGGCAGTGTAATCTGTCAAAAATGCTTCGCTGACACTTCAAGTACTTTTCACATGCATTGTGCCAGTGTTGGGCTATTAATGTGTTTCTGATCACAGCAGGCAGCCGATTTACGAGAACTCACTCACGTGCAAATTGCAAATATAATTAATAAAATAACGAATTTTATTTTTTTCGCTACTTCATACAAATATTACGTTGCTTGATATAAATTTGAAATTTTCAGGTGGCGCCATCTATATAAAAGTAAGTGAATTCAAAATTACAGGGATCACAGCTGTTTGATGTAATGTAGGTTGCGTTATTGGTGGTTAAAATTTAAAAAAATGTTTACACATAAAGGTGCGTATAGATTTAACGGGCCAGGCTCGGGCCAACAACGGGCTCAGGTTCATCAGATTGGGATCGAAGTTGGCCCGTTTGCATCGCACGGTAGATGTACGTACCCGTACAAATTTGACGAACCAGGTCCAGGCCCTGTTATATCTATACGCACCTTTATAGAATATATTCTAGTACCTGAAATTGTTTTTATATCGATTTTTGATGCCCTTTTAACATGTACAATTTTCACAATTTCATTTTCTTTTTCATTTTCTCATTTTTTGTTTCACTGTTCAATTCAGGAACTAGTTCAATACATTAGAATATTATAAAACAAATCCGCATAGATTTATTGCCTAGAAAGTCCGTATTATGTGTTGAAAATTTATCCTGCTTAGATATAAATTTGATAAACCTGCCTTAATTAAATTGTATTGGGTGTGTGTGTGTTTTAAGAAATTTTTGATATTTTTTTATTATAATGCGAAGTTTTTAAATTGACACTCTGTGTGTCCTCCAGTTTACGATATTTTTTCCCAAACACCCTGTATATTACGGTCTAGTTACAGTCAACAAAATCTACGCTATAGAGTGGCCCAGATTAAATTTCAATGTACATATTATGAATCATTGACAAATAAAGAGTGATCCAAAAAAAATGTTTCTAAATAGGTACCTAGGTCTTGACCGACAAAGACATGATGCGAGTCATGTCTATGACACAGAATACATAATAACTACGTACGGCTCTGAATTAAATTCACACCGACACTTAAAAAGATAAATAATTGCATGCTCACACATTTATGTGAATCTTTCCAAGTATTACTTGAGAATCAAATATTTTTTTTGTAGATCGGTCCGTATTTTCTCTTCTTTAAACAAATTATTCTACGTTTATTAGTTTAAAAACTAAATTTTACTATGGAAAACACCATATACCAGATTAATCGACTCTGTTTCTTTTTAGACTAAAATCTAAGTTAAAACGTTATTAAATTTAAACAATACATACATGCAATACTTTTCACAATGTTATGTTAATCGTTTCATTCACAGATATTCCAATTTTAGGTTTAAAATCCATATACCTAGGTAGGTGTATATTCACTAAATTTTCTTTTTTAATTTACGTTTCTAATTATATATTATTCTACCAAGTTGATGTTGATACTAAAAATCTACATTAATATGTATTATTTTAAAATGTTTAGGAACAAAACAAAATAGAAAAACTCACCTCTGACTGACTGCTTATTGTAACGACACTTAAATCACAAAATAATTCAGAGTTTTTTCTTAATTCGCCACTAACTTAAATCATACTTTTTATATATATAAAAAAAAAAGAAAAGTACAAATCAACCAGAATATTTCTAATGAAAAAGTTGCACACATTGCGCAAACCGTGGCACCGGCAAAAAAACAATTCCCGAAGTGAATAAAATTAGGTTTGTTCGGGTTTCCTTAAAACTCGATGCAAACCGTCCGAGAACTAGTGGAACAGTTCAATTCTAAAGTATACGTCGCACACAACTATTAAACTGTCCACTGGTCAACTAGTCCTCTGATAGTTTTCAATGTATTTTAAAGAACCCGAACAGACCTATTGGAATCTGAAATCTAGTTTGCAGTTGTTATCAATTTGGGAGGTGGCGAAGAGGTGGCAGCACCAATACCAATCAGTATGTATTTAAATGTACAGGCGCGTGTGGACGCGATCTCATGGGTCAAGTTTTTTTTATCAACAAAAGTAGAATACCTATAACTTGAATCAATTTTTGTTCACACATTTCAATATAAATTGAATTAATAATTGCAATATAAAATGATGTCGAATGCAGTTGTGCGTGAACAAAACGTCATTTTTGGGTGAGGCAGTGGATTCTGAAAAGAAATAGATTGGAAGCATCAGAAACGTTGCTAAGGGAGCTCTGGAGGATAAAGAAGGGTATATAAATCATTTACATTTACGAATGTTTGAAGAGAAATACCTACGAGGAACTGCTCTCAAAAGTCCAGGACCCTCGATAAAAGGAAAGCATTGTAATCGTGAAAATTTAGATTTTCCCCTTTTTGGGGTCCCTAGATTACAAAAAACATGTTTTCCCTATTCCGTCGGTCTGTCTGCCGTCTGTTGTCTGCCGTCTGTTGTCAGCCGTCTGTCTGTTGGCGCAATAGCTCAAAAACGGCTTAAGAGAAAATTTTCAAATTTTGTATGCAGGTATAAGGCTTCCTCTTGGCTCAAAACCGGTTATACTTCCTGTCAGATATATACAGGGTGAGCAATAAAAAAATATTTATTATTAAAAGTCAGCAGAATTCGACTAAAATTGGTTTCTGATAAAATTGTTATCTGATCAAAGATAACAGATCATGAATTACTTTTTAAAAATTCAAAATGGCTTCCCTGTTTTTACAATTTATACAGGGTGTTTTTTAATGGTATGCTAATATTGTAGGGTGTGATTCTTTAGGAAATTTTATGGAGAAAACTTTATATGAACATGTCCACAACGGCTTCAATTGTTTGATACAGGGAGTTGAAAATTTATTTTTTAATGAGATATTTTTTAATATCTCTGAAAATAGTTTAGATATAATTTTTAATTTTGCCATTTGTTAATAGGATATAAAACCACATATTTAAGTTAGAAAATTTATTTTATTGCTTTACCAGTGGCGTCTCTGCAAACATGATATTTTCTACAAAAAAAATAGTATGCCACTGACATTTTTCCATGTTGATATTTTTACTCATCTGACTGGTCAATTATATACATCAATACTTATATTTTTCTCGCTAGCCGCTCCGCTCTAGATTAAAATAATTGAAAGTATGTAGTTTTACATCCTATTAAAAATACAAAAATAAGAGGGAATCTCAATACAGTATGTCCATTGTATATATTTAGTTTATCCTCTAAACATTTACAGAGGTGCTGCAATATAGATTGTACAAAATAACCGAAAAAGCCTGTAATAACTAGATAGGAAAGTCATAAGTTGAACATATCATATTACCTAATAAGAGGATTCAAACAACTCGAGAAAATGCTGTTCAAGCAACATCAACATCTCGTTTTGATTTATAATATTCAACGAAATATTTAGATAGGTGTAACACTTTCTTTACTTTTGAGATAATTACAAACATAAGGCGTAAATACAAGAAAATTTGGCTAACTTCAGGTGTGCTTAGTTTCACTCTTTTTTACACCACCTCTTCTTTATCTCACATTTTAAAAATCA